CGCTCTTGTTACCCAGGCTGGAGTGCAATGGCGCGATCTCGGCTCACTGCAACCTCCGCCTCCTGGGTTCAGGCAATTCTCCTGCCTCAGCCTCCTGAGTAGCTGGGATTACAGGCACACGCCACCATGCCCAGCTAATTTTTTGCAGTTTTAGTAGAGACTGGGTTTCACCATGTTGACCAGGATGGTCTCGATCTCTTGGCCTCGTGATCCACCCGCCTCGGCCTCCCTAAGTGCTGGAATCACAGGCGTGAGCCACCGCGCCCGGCAAGAATTTTTTTTTTTAAGACAGAGTCTCACTTGGTCACCCAGGCTGGAGTGCAGTGGCCCAGTCTAAGCTCACTGCAACCTCTGTCTCCCAGGATCAAGTGATTCCCCTGTCTCTGCCTTCTGAGTAGCTGGACTACAGGTGCCCACCACCATACCCGGCTAACTTTTGTATTTTTAGGAGAGACAGGGTTTTGCAATTTTGGCCAGGCTGGTCTCGAACTCTGGACCTCAGGTGATCCACCCACCTCAGCCTCCCAAAGTGCTGGGATTACAGAGCCCACTGTACCCAACTGGTAGTGTATAAATAAATAAGCAAAAATAAAATATAAGGAACTAATCATAGAGGTGCCATTTTTTTCACTGGCTGTGTGAAAAAAAATGGAAAAAAAAAAACTCATTCTTTTTTTGTTGAAGGAAATAGAAAATCACCTTGATAAGGACACAGAGGGCTATGATGTGGTGCTTGATGCTATAGACACAATGCAGCGAGTCGCCTGGCACATCAATGACATGAAGCGGAAACACGAGCACGCGGTCCGGTTACAGGTGAGCTTGCAAGGTTTGCAGATGTCCTGACTCACTGTTTTCCCAGTAAAATATTAAGGCTGCTCAGGTACTGCACCACCTTCACGGCCTTCCACATAGTTCTCCCTGAAAGCAGTTCAGGACACCAGTAATACCGATCATTGTCTAGTATGGCTCTTTAAGAGAAAGTGACATTATAACTTTTAAGCTAATTGTTTGCTTATAGCCCCTTTGATGATCTAAGTTAAAATTTGGAGTCTCCTACTTCTATTAATTGCAAAGTTAGTAATTCTTTTTTTTTTTTTTTTTTTAAAGACGGGGTTTCACCATGTTGGTCAGGCTGGTCTTGAACTTCCGACTTCAGGTGATCTGCCCGTCTTGGCCTCCAAAGTGCTTGGATTACAGGCGTGAGCCACCATGCCCGGCCAAAGTTAGTAATTATTGTTGAAAGCAACTTTCTCTAAACTATGTAAAGGTTTTTTAAGCCTTTATTCCTCTGCTACCAGTTCCTGCAAAACCATGAGGTGATGCGTGGGTGGTCATAGGCCGGGGCTGAGGAGTAAGGGGGCCAAGGCTGAACCAGCTCCTTTACAGTTTCACGTGGGAAGTGACCCTCCCACGTCATTCCAATTTCCTTTTTTGGGGGCGGGAGGGAAGGGGACGAAGTTTCACTCTTGTCATCCAGGCTGGAGTACAGTGGCATGATCTAGCTCACGACAACCTTGGCCTCTGAGGTTCAAGCGATCCTCCTGCCTCGGCCTCCTTAGTAGTTGGGATTACGGGGCACACCACCACACCCAGCTAATTTTGTATTTTTACTAGAGACAAGGTTTCACCAGGTTGGCCAGGCTTGTCTCGAGCTCTTAACCTCAGATTGTCCGCCCACCTGGGCCTCCTAAAGTGCTAGGATTACAGGCTTGAGCCACCACACCCAGCAGTTTCCTCATTTTTAGACGAGATCGGGCGTGTTCAAGGTGGTGTGGCCGTAGACAGTTTCCTCATTTTTAAAATAAGACAGAGAAGTGTGCTAAAGGCCTATCCAGCATGAACATTTTAAGCCCTAAATCTTAGGACATTTTGACAGATGTTGAGCCAGTGACCATGCCCTGGGCACCACAATAGATGCACGTTTTTTTTTTTTGTTTTTTTTTTTTTGTTTTTTGAGACAGAGACTTGCTCTATCACCAGGCTGGAGTGCAGTGGCACCATCTCAGCTCACTGCAACCTCCACCTCCCCAGTTCAAGCGATTCCCCTGCCTCACCCTGCTGAGTAGCTGGGACTGCAGGTGGGCGCCACCACACCCAGCTATGTTTTTGTATTTTAGTAGAGACAGTGTTTCACCATGTTGGCGAGGATGGTCTCGATCTCCTGACCTCATGATCTGCCCGCCTCAACCTCCCAAAGTGCTGGGATTACAGGCGTGAGCCACCTCACCTGGCCAGGTGCACTATTAAAAACAAAACAAGAGGCTGTGTGGGCCCAGAGGCCAGTTCCAGGCTCCTGACTGTCCCTGGAGAGAGACGGAGAAACCCAAAGTGACTTGACCCTATGCAGACTGGCTTTGCCTAACTCAGGAAAAAAGATACATTATTTGGCTCATAAGTCAGAACAAACTCTGTAGGTTTCAGGTATAGGCAGCCAGAATGTGGTGTGATGCTATTGACGATCAAAAATCAGAGGAAGATGACATGATAATCTTCCAGGCTGCTTTTGTGTTTTGCAACAGCAATAAAAGTTTAACCCTTTATCATACAAGTGTTTTGCAGACATAATGTCAGAATCTATTGAACACAGTCATCCACCTGCCCCCACCCACCCCCCTGCCCCAGCTCCACAGTTTCACTTTCTGTAATTTCATTTGCCTGTGGTCAACCAAGGTTAGAAAATTTTAAATGAGGGCCAGGCGCGATGGTTCACACCTGTAATCCTAGCACTTTGGGAGGCTGAGGCAAGCAGATCACCTGAGGTTGGGAGTTTGAGACCAGCCTGGCCAACATGGTGAAACCCATCTCTACTAAAAATACAAAAATTAGCCAGGCGTGGTGGCAGATGCCTGTAATCCCAGCTACTTGAGAGGCTGAGGCAGGAGAAAATCACTTGAACCCGGGAGGCAGAGGCTGCAGTGAGCCAAGATGGCACCACTATACTCCAGCCTGGGCAACAGAGTGAGACTCTGTCTCAAAAAAAAAGAATTAATAAGATCTCATATTTGATAGCACAACAAGGGAATTACAGTCAACAGTAATTTATAAATAACTGAAAGTATAATTGCACTGTTTGTAACACAGAAGAAATGAGAAATGCTGGAGATGACAGAGGCCCGTTTATCCTGATGTGTTTATTATGTATTGTATGCCTGTCAGAATATCTCATGTACCCCATCAATATATACACCTACTGTACCCATACAAATTTAAAATTTGAATAAAAAAGCACTAAAATGTAAGTTAGGTGCAAAGGTTCATTTCCTTTCCCTGAGTAAGTAAATTTAAACTCAGGAAATTTCTGAGAAAATGACAGGGCTGATTTTTTATAGGCTTTAGTTTTGAATTTCTTCTGTGTGGTATGAACTTCGATATCTGGAAGAAAGTCTTCAACAGCTCTGAAGATTTTCTTCCCAGAGAAGAGGGGGTGAGAAAAATCAAGGGAAAGGGCCAGGCACGGTGACTCACATCTGTAATCCCAGAACTTTTGGAAGTCCAGATGGGCAGACCACTTGAGGTCAGGAGTAGAAGACCCGCCTGGCCAACATGGAGAAACCCTGTCTGTACTAAAAATTAAAAAAAATTAAAAAAAAATTCGCCAGGCATGAAGGTGGGCACCTGTAATCCCAGGTACTCAGGAGCTGAGGCACGAGAAACTCCTGAACCAGGGAGGTGGGGTTGAAGTGAACCGAGATCACACCACTTCCCTCTAGCCTGGGCGACAGAGCGAGACTCTGTCTCAAAAAAATAAAAAATAAAAGAAGGAGGCCTACCTGAGAAGGTCCCATACTGTTAGCCCCTGGACCTGGCTTTAGAAAGATGTAACAGCTATTAGGAGCCGTATCATGGCATGATTAAGGAATGGAAATAAGTCATTAGCAGCTCATCAACTAACAGCCTGATTCAGTTCTGTTAACCCTTAAGTGGCACCATCTGTAAATGCAGATTTATTCCATAGACCATCAGATACCATGTAGATTGTTAGACCCCATCAGGGATGATTTGTCACCATTCTTGAGGCCCAACAGATGAGCCACCAAGCCCATGGTGCCTGGCGTCTGCTTCCTGTTAAGTGCTATGGCCCCATTCCCTTTCTCAGGAGATACAGAGTTTGCTTACTAACTGGAAGGGGCCAGACCTGACCAGCTACGGGGAGCTGGTGCTTGAGGGAACCTTCCGCCTCCAGCGAGCCAAGAACGAGCGGACGCTCTTCCTCTTTGACAAGCTGCTGCTCATCACGAAGAAGAGAGATGACACGTTTACGTACAAAGCTCACATCCTGGTAGGTCTGCACACTGGCCACGGGCAGGGACTCAGATCCCCGGTTCCGTTCCCTCCTGAGCGTGCCTCACCCTCTGCTCTCTCTGCTCCAGTGTGGCAACCTCATGCTCGTGGAGGTGATTCCAAAGGAGCCACTCAGCTTCAGCGTCTTCCACTATAAGAATCCCAAGCTGCAGCACACAGTCCAGGTAACGGCAGGCCCGGGCCTCCCCACAAGCCCCTTTGTGAACAATGAGTGCTATGTGCTAGGTGGCTTTTCGAGAGCCTTCTGGCCACATGGTCAATTCCCATCTCATCAGAGGGTCCTGTGGGTGGTGGAATCGTTGTCTGACTGTCCACATCTCGTCATGGCAGGCCAAATCCCAGCAAGACAAACGCCTCTGGGTTCTGCACCTAAAGAGACTGATCCTGGAGAACCACGCAGCCAAGATTCCAGCTAAGGTAGGACACTGAATCAATGCACCGTCAAACGGGAGAGAGCTCAAATCCCAGTAAGGCATCCTGATAGGATAAAATGTTCAACTTCAAAACAGAGAGGCTGGCGTGGTGGCTCATGCTTGTAATCCCAGCACTTTGGGAGGCCACAGCAGGTGGATCACTTGAGCCTAGGAGTTTGAGACCACCCTGGGTAACAAAGCGAGACCACTGTCTCTACAAAAAATAGAAAAGTTAGCCCCCAGCCTGGTTGCACGAACCTGTAGTCCCAGCTACTCTGGGAGGCTGAGGTGGGAGGATCGCTTGGGTCCAGGAGGCGGAGGTTGCAGTGAGCTGAGATTGTATCACTGCACTCCAGCCTGGGTGACACAGCAAGACCCTGCCTCAAAAAAATGAAAAAGAAAATGGAGAGATAGTATATGTAGGAACTACATCTCAGCTAAACTAGCCATTAGCATCAAAAAGATTCACATGGGGCCAGATGTAGTGGCTCACACCTGTAATCCTAGCACTTTGGGAGGCCGAGGCAGGCAGATCACCTGAAGTCCAGAGCTCAAGACCAGCCTGGGCAGCATGGTGAATCCCCATCTCTACTAAAAATGCAAAAATTAAACCAGGCACGGTAGCTCATGCCTGTAATCCCAGCATTTTGGGAGGCTGAGGCGGGCAGAGTTTGAGAACAGCCTGACCAACAGGGAGAAACCCCATCTCTACAACCAGGAATGATGACACATGCCTGTATTTTCAGCTACTCTGGAGGCTGAGGCAGGAGAATCGCTGATCCTGGGAAATGGAGGTTGCAGTGAGCTGAGATGGTGCCATTGCACTCCAGCCTGGGAAACAAGAGCAGAACTCTGTCTCAAAAAATATATATATTTACAAAAATTAGCCAGGTGTGGTGGCATGCACCTATAGTCCCAGCTACTCAGGAGGCTGAGGCAGGAGAATTGCCTGAACCCAGGAGGCAGAGGTTACAGTGAGCCGAGATTGCACCATTGCACTCCAGCCTGGGTGACAGGACGAGATCCCATCTCAAAAAAAAAAAAGGCCAGGCGCGGTGGTGGTTCACACCTGTAATCCCAGCACTTTGGGACCGTCACCTGAGGTCAGGAGTTCAAAACCAGCCTGACCAATATGGTGAAATCCCATCTCTACTAAAAAATACAAAAATTAGCCATGCATGATGACATACACCTGCAGTCCTAGCTACTCACGAGGCTGAGATAGGAGAATTGCTTGAGCCCAGGAGGTAGAGGTTGCAGTGAGCCAAGATCGCACCACTGCACTCTAGCCTGGGCGACACAGCGAGACTCCATCTCAAAAAAAAAAAAAGAAAAGAAAAGATTTGCATGAATGGCAGACTCCATGGAGGTGGTGGTGTTTTTCCTTTTGGGGCTTAAAAGAAGATGGAGTTATGAGAATTATGCAAAGGTGCATGAAGCACCTATGTGTGTAAAGCTGGGTCCCATGCAGGTGCTTGGGAGACAAGATACAGATTTGGCCAAGAAGGAGTCTGTAGATGGGGAGCCAGCTGCCAAGCCATGAACTGTTTGCCAACCGTGAAGGCGCAATAGAGTATACCTTAGGTGGTGTGGAAGAATAAAGTGTTCAATTCAGTTGAGTGGAGAGAGGAAGGAAAACATCTTTTACCTCAGTCTTGAGGGATAAGGATTTTTTTTTTTTTTGAGACAGGATCTTACTGTGTTGCCCAGGCTGGAGTGCAGTTGTACAAACATCGCGCATTACAGCCTCGAATTTCTGGGCTCAAGAGATCCCACTACCTCAGCCTCCCAGAGGAGCTGGGACCACAGGCTTGCACCACCACGCCAAGCTAATTTTTATTGGTTTTTTTTTTTTTTTTTTTTTTTTTTTTTTTGAGACGGTGTTTCCCTCTGTCACCAGGCTGGAGTGCAGTGGCATGATCTTGGCTCACTGCAACCTCCACCTCCTGGGTTCAAGCGATTCTCCTCCCTCAGTCTCCCAAGTAGCTGGGACTATAGGCGCCTGCCAACATGTCCGGCTAATTTTTGTATTTTTCTAGTAGAGACGGGGTTTCACCATATTGGCCAAGATGGTCTCGAACTCCTGACCTCATGATCCACCCGCCTCTGCCTCCCAAAGTGCTAGGATTACAGGCATGAGCCACCACACCTGACCTAATTTTTGTTTTTTTTTTAAGGTGTGGTCTCATTATCTTGCCCAGGCTGGTTTCAAACTCCTGGGTTCCAATGATCTGCCCGCCTCAGCCTTTCCAAAGTGTTGGAATGACAGGCATGAGCCACCGTGCCCAGTCTTGGGAATATTTTTATTAAGTAGGGAAAAAAGGAATAAAGGAAACCAGACCTAGAGACCTGCGTAAACAGAAACAGGAGAGAACGAATGCGCTGCGTTCAGCGTTCACAGGCGGTGCCTGGATGGGAGGGCTGAGTTTTCAGGGGCTGGGGCAGGAGTGGAGGCAGGGAGGGGAAGGGCAGGAGCTCTTGGAGGGCTGTGGGCATGCGCTTTGAGGAGCCTGGACTGCATTCACACTGGGAAATCACTGCAGGCTTTGGAGGAAAGGGAGATGGTAAGGTCAGCCCTGTGTTCTGAGAGTGTCACTTTGGGGACAGGGTGACAAATAAGTGGCAGGAGTGAGGTTGGAGGCTGGAGAAGATAGTACCCACCATGATGGTCTGGAAAGGAGCTGAGTGGTGCTGCCACAGAGCCACAGCAGCAGAGGGGACAAGTGCAGAATGTGCCACTGAGGCAGGGACAGGATTTCGCCCACAATGCCAAGTCAGGAGTTGAAGGAGAGCGTGATGATGTGAGTCCTGAGACAGGTGGAAAGCCAGAGGAACTCGTGGGATTGGAGCGAGAGAGAGGAGCCCGCCGCTCTCACTGGCACCCATGCTGCCGGGCAGGGTCAGCCACAGGTGGAAATTCAGGTCTTGGAAGTTGAGGATCAGGAGACTCTTGCTAGATGCGGTAATTGAAGCCCAAAGGTTTAACAAGATGGTCCACAAAAATGTGTAAAAGAAAACGAACCCTTGGGACTCTCAACATCTAAGAGATCTGCAGGTGGGTGGGGGATTTGGAGAACAGCCAAACAAAGCACTGAAAGAGCAGCAGAGAGGCCGTGAGGACGCGCTGGGAGAAGGCGCCATGCTAACAAGGAAAAAGCACATCTCAGAGACAGCAGAGAAACTGTCTTAAAGGCTGCCGGTCCAGGAGATTTTTCCTTTATTATTTGAGATGGAGTTTCACTCTTGTTGCCCAGGCTGGAGTACAATGGCACAATCTCGTCTCACTGCAACCTCTGGCTCCTGGGTTCAAGAAGTGATTCTCCTTCCTCAGTCTCCCGAGTAGCTGGGATTACAGGCATGCGCCACCATGCCTGGCTAATTTTTTGTATTTTTAGTAGAGACAGAATTTCTCTGTGTTGACCAGGCCTGTTTTGAACTCCCGACCTCGGGTTATCCGCCCCACCTCAGCCTCCCAAAGTGATGGGATTACAGGTGTGAGCCACCGCACCTGGCCAGTCCAGGAAATTTAAACAGAAAAGCAGATTTTAGATTTGGCAATTAAGAGAGAAGGGAGAGATCGAAGTGTGTTGAAGAAGAAGGGGGATTAAGAAGCAACAGAACGGGTATAGACTTTTTCATATATAAAGTTCACAAAAGGAAAAAAAATGCTAGTTTGGAGAGAGGCAAGAGCAAATCAAGTCTTCTTGTCTGAGTCAAGTGCCAAGTCCCCAACGGGATGGCAGGGTGGAGAAGGGAGGTGGAAGAAGAGACGGTGGCTCACTTCCTGGAATGAGGCCTGGGGAGGTGGGAAGGAAGAGGGTGGGACGCACAGGAAGAGGGGCTCATCTTGGAAAGGACTGGAAGCATCTCTCTGAGCCAAGGGAGAAAAAGATGAAAGATGGAGTAACTTTGAGGTGGATTTGCAAGAAGACAAAGGGTTTAATTTCACTAATGCAGATGATAAACTCATCTGCTGGGAGAGTGAAGCAGAGATGGGGGTATCTGAGGGAAAGTGGAAGGGATCAGAAGAACACTTGCTAAAGAAAATGGACAAGTTGGGCTGGGCATGGTGGCTCATACCTGTAATCCCAGCACTTTGGGAGGCAGAGGCAGATGGATCACGAGGTCAGGAGTTTGAGACCAGCCTGGCCAACATGGAGAAACCCGGTCTCTACTGAAAATACAAAATTAGCCAGACGTGGTGACGCATGCCTGTAATCCCAGCTACTCAGAGTCTGAGGAAGGAGAATCGCTTGAACCCAGGAGGCAGAGCTTGCGGTAAACCGAGATCACACCATTGCACTACAAAAGGGAAAAAAAAAAAAAAAGTTTCCCAAAAAAAAAAAAAAAAAAAAAAGGAAAGAAAGAAAATAGACCAGTCCCTAGAGATGACTAGAATAATTTGTGAAAGGCAGCAAAGGACCCAGCTGAAGCTGGCCACCATGAATCAGTGTGATGATGCCATTTCAAAATCTGCTCAGCAACTTGGAAACTACTGGTAAAAACCGTGGTGTGTGTGGGTTCCTCCAGGTTGGGAACCAGCAGAGCTGGTAGGGGAAGGTTCTCAGGGCCAGGGTGGGGAGGGTGCCAGTGGGCACGCAGTTGCAGTGACTGGGCATGACATCAGGCTTAGTGGAGAAGAGAACCAGCTGAAAACAGGTGTGTGCTGAGAGACTGCAGTATTGAAATAAAGACTGGTTCAGCAGGAGTTAATGTTGGAGAGACGGAAATGTACAAATCTGTAGTTGAAGAAGTGACTTCTGGAGTCCCGCCTTAGAGGTGAGGCAGTGTTGGGTGTGATCCGGTCCTGGAGGTGGCTCTGCTTCTGTCTTGCTGCTCTGGAGTGGAGGAAAAGGTCACTAGAGACAAAGTGATCGAGGAACTAGGGTGAGGGCGGCGGGTGGGTTCTTCACAGGGATGGTGAAATGGTCCAGGTTGGGGCCGGGAGGAGTGAGGTGGAGCAGACTATGGGATGATGATCATGAAAATTGAACTGGGTGGAAAATAAGAAGGGTTGAGATTTCTGAGAAAGAGGAGAGTCTGTTTTGCTGTCTGCATATTTTGACAAGCATTTGAAGCTTGTTCTCAGGGCTGCCAGCAATGATTCGGTCCTCAGGAAATGAATGTGCTAGGTGTGGACTTGGACTTGAGCATGAGTTTCGTTTTGTCAGGGTGTTATGAGATGCAGGGGAGCTCATGCAGAGAGGGGACTGCGTTTTCTTCATGATTAGTCATTTGGTTGCTGGCCTGATGCCTTACGATGGCCTTCGGAGCAATGGCAGAGCATCTTTGATGTGCTTACCTGTTGTTTACCTGTCTACTGGGAAAACCAAAATCACTAGCAAGATTCTGAAAGGCAGCTATAGACCATTACAAAACAAGGCCATCTTACATACCTGTCCTCTTTCTACCATGCTGGTGTATGTATCCCGGGAAATTCCCTTCAAGTATTCAGATGGTGAATGTAGTAATATGACGTGAACTTTCTCCCCAAGTTGTCTGTCCCTTCAATCTAAAAACGTCTTTTCAGCTGCGACTTACTGAGCATACACACTGTGCTGAGTTCTTTATATTCTTACTACACCCTCACCAAAATATGTTATGAGGTAGTTCTTATTCTTCCCATTCTAGAGAAATAAAAACATAGGCTCAGAGACATTAAATAAACTGCCCAAGTTTATATAACTAGCACATGACCAAGTCTATCTGGCTTCAAAGAGCATCTTAACCATATTGTTCCCACTGGCAATAAAAAACCTTTTTTTTTTTTTTTTTTTTTTTTTTTTTTTTTTTTTTTTTTTTTTTGAGACAGGGCCTCACTCTGTCGCCCAGGCTGGAGTGCAATGGTGCAATAGTCTGCTCGCTGCAGCCTCCGCCTCCCAGGTTCAAGTCATTCTCCTGCCCCAGCCACCTGAGTAGCTGGGACTACCAGTGCATACCACCACACCTGGCTAATTTTTGTATTTTTAGTGGAGACGGGGTTTTGCCATGTTGACCAGGCTGGCCTCGAACTCCTGGCCTCAAGTGATCCACTAGCCTCAGCCTCCCAAAGTCCTGGGATTACAGGCACAAGCCACCACACCCAGCCTCAAACGTACTTGTTTAATATATTTTATTCACTATAATGTAATCATAATTTTCTATTTAAGCACAATTGCTATTAAAGTGAACTTTCCACATCTTTCCTCGAGATTATTTATTTTCCTAAAGTTTTCAAAATGTATTTCTATCATTTCTATGAAATAAATGCATAGTGGGAAATTTTAAACATCAAATGTATCACTAGTCCAATAATATCAACACAGCTGTGGGAAACTCATTAGTTAGAGCCTCCCCGCTGCCGGTTCTTTCTCTTTCTTTCCTCCTTCCTTCTTTCTTCCTTCCTTCCTTCCTTCCTTCCTTCCTTCCTTCCT